GAAAAAACAGTTTAGGCCTTTTTCTAAACATTTCATGCGTTTTTGTTTTTTTTTTGTTTGTTTGTTTGTTTTTTCATCCACTTTTTTTATACTTTCACAGCATTTATTAACATGCAGGCTTTTCCTGTTTGCTCAACCACATAAAATGTTGAAATATAAATTTCCCCAACTATTCCCTCCCTCTCTTTATACATAGTTATTTTATGCAGACTGGTAGCCTTTTATTTCTAGCTTTATATATTAATTTTGAGGTTTAAATACTACCAGATCAGAGAATTTCCGTAAGCAGGAATGATGAATAATAGATTAGTGTGGTCATAACAAACAGCCTTATGAATTATCCTGATGGCTCTTTCATTGCAGCGTGCATAGCAGTTTAAGTGATGGCCTGTAGGATTTACGTCAGAAATCTACGCAATACCTCGGTATGGTAAAGCCGGTAGGTTAAAGACTTAAATCACCATCAAAGATGAAAAATGAAAATACTAGTGAAACCATTGGAAACAATCCCCAGCAAATATAAGAAGAGATTAGCTGCTGTGATGAAATTTTCAAGTAAAGAGTTTGAGTATTTTTCCACATACCATTTTTATTAGAATGTGAGAAATTATATACTTTTCATTGCCCCTCAGAAAAAAACATAGTTAGCAATTTATCTAAATGGGCCACGGTTCTGATTCTTTTTGTAACTCCAATGACTCTAGATCTAGGTTTGAAGGAAAATAAATGAATAGTCCCAGATTTCATGTCTTTGGACTGTTGGAGCAACATGGATTTGCAAAATTCTTACATCTCCAGGGGTAGAAAATGGAAACTGAGAAAAGTTGGAGAAAGGCTCCTGCCTGTGTTTGAACTTCTAGCTGCCATAAAACAATGCACACCACTGTTCCCCAAACATACATTCAATTTGGTTTGAATTTTTGAATTCTGATTCTAGAGAGTACCTACAAAATACTTTCTATGATAGAAATTATATTTTAGCATTCTATAAGCTGTATTATAATGAGCCTAGTTTGAAGGCAATATTCAATTGTTTCAATTGATTCCTGATTATGTTGTTTTGTTTTATCCTTTCCGTCTTATTCGGGAATTGCCACACCAGGTCATTTAGACTTAATGGTCAAACTTGGAACTGGTTTGGTTTCCATTATAATGTCTTTTCTTCTTATCATTGTAAAAAAGAAATACTTTAAGACATGTTTATTCAGGCAGTGTATAAAATACCTCTAAGGATTTCCTTTTTGTTTGATCTTTATGTTTGTTTAGCATTCAAAGCAGTTCTAATTAATTTAGCAGAGGAAAAAAAGTAGAACAAAGACAAGTAAATAGATCCCATTACAGAGAGGAGGCTAAAGTACTGTAGGCACAGACTGTGAAACAGATGGAGGAAATATGTGTAATTGTACATGGCTCCAAAGCTTCTTGGTAAGAGAAGTGAATGATAAAATGTGGACAAAAAGAAAAATGAGACAATTAGCAGGTTGTTATGGTCTGTTCCTAAGACCTAATAGTATTTCCCCTTTCCTATTACTGGAACACACTGCAGGACATGGTGTAGAGGACAGAAAGAGTCGGTCATTGTCGGATGCATGAATGTTTGTGTGCTTGGTGGAGATTAGATGGCTGTCTGCATGTCTGTGTCTCGAAGGGACCTCATAATGCGTCCGTCAGAGCGACAAGGGCACAAAGATAGAGACTGATCTTTACCCACTGAATGCACTGCACACATTACCGGACACAAAATGTTACCTGGGAACACGAATATACACTTTCATTTTATCATTTCGTTTTAACATGTAAAGACCCTCTTGACCGCCCTGTTCATCTCAAACATTTCTGCTTATATTTACTCACCCTTTTAGCCTGTCAGTGCAGCCAATCTTATGATTCACATTCAGTTTATTTGCCATTTGCAGTGTGTAAAAAAAAACACATTGGAAAAGAGATGTAAGTAGTGCAGTTGCACAGTTTGACATTCCCACTGACAAAGGGACAAGAACCACCATTCAAATACAACAAGAGGGCCTGATAAAAAGAAAATTGAAAACAAATATTAAGATCCTAATAAATAAAATAAAACAGAGAGTCATCATAAAGTTTTCATGTTAAAAGTCATCACAGCTTGAGGAAAGAAGCTTTTATTGTCACTCGATGTCCCACATTTAATTGCTCGATAGCGCCTCCCAGAAGGAAGAAGTTCAAACAGGTCTCTGGTAGATTGCAAAGGGTCTTTAATGATGGCTAAAGCCTGGGAGCAAAGTCTTTGATGATAGATGTCCTCCAAGGCTGACAAATCCTCACCAATAATCCGACTAGCAGAGCGGACCGCTTGTTTTAAAAATGTCCTTTCTTTAGCAGAAACATTTCCAAACCACACTGTGATAGCATTCAAGGCAAGGCTTTCTATTGCACAGCTGTAGAAATTAAACAGTCTGTTTATTACTAGAAAAAAATTGAATTAGGAAAAGAAAAGCAGCTGTTGAGGCTTTTTGACAATCAAACTGGTATTCAAATTTCAGCTGAGGTCATTTGACAAAGAAGCACCGTCAAACTTTTCATAATTTGCACCTCCCTTCCATTTATAGAAACAGGTAAAAGGAGTTTATTTTTCTGAAAATCAACGACCAATTCAAAGATATTAGAGGCATTCATAACCAAGTTGTTTTCTTTTCTCCAAGACTACATTTTCCACTTTAGTTCTTTTCTGTATGTGCATCAGTGTAAACCCTATTCACCTCTAGTTTTATGTTTTTTTATATTTTTTATTTTGGCAGACTTTTCTTTTAAAGTAGATTTTGTTACTTACAAAGACCTACAATTTCTAGGTTGAATATGTATCCTGTTTATGGAAGAGACACAGATGTGTTCTCCGAATTTCTGAAAGAAATCAATGAAATGCTCAAGTGTGTGAATAATTTGTATGGGACTGTGAGCATAAATCCGATGTGTCCTCTGCAAGTCTGCATTTGTTCTTCTGTGATACATCTTCATTTTACCAGCTCATTACTTCTGTTACAGCCCACAGGGCTTTCTCTATTCCCCTGGTTTTGGCACATTACTGACAAAAAGGCTAGGGATTGTATTCCTTGTTTTTTTTCTTTTTTGTTTTATTTTTTTATGTTGAGTTGTTCCACTTTCTTTGAATATTTTTTGTGTTTTATTAATGACTTTACTTTCCCAGCAAGAAGTTTCCTTTTTTACTTTCACTTTAAGATGCTCAGCTTGTATAATCAGTTTTGTGCTCCAATTGACAGAATGTTCCATGACTTTAAACATGATAACTGTTTCTCATTTTTTTAATCTATCACGTTTTTTTTAACCGTGTTGTACTTAAAATCAAAATACTTTAAAAAAAAAATCAAAATTGGACAAAAGGTTAATAAGAAATCTCTCAAACTTTGTTTTTACTGTTGAAATCTCTTTAATAATAACATTTTCAACTTAATTCAAAACATAAAACTCTAATTTTATAAACTGCTACATTTAAGAAATCCCTTTTTTAAAGTGACACTAAACAACAGCTGCTAAGGTTCTGGCACTCGTTTTGTAGGATCTCACATATATGGGTAACCAAATTAACTCAGAACAATGATTTTAAATGGCATAATGAAAAGAATGCAAACTGAAAAAAAAATTATGCAACCATTTTTGGAATCTATCTAATCATATTTAGTTACTTTACCACAATTGTTTTTTGTCCAACCATGCTAAAATGAAAAAAAAAATCGTGTTGAAGCAACTTGATATGATTAACAAATGTCAAAAAAAGTTGCATTAATAATGTTGAAAATTCACTCTATTTAATAAAGGTGCACCACCCCCACTAGGCGGAGTCAATTACGAAGCCTTAAGTGCAAAAAAATTACCTTGAGATCCTCCTCTTTAATAATATGGTGAAACATTATGGCCACTTGTTAAAAAAATAAAAGAAGAAAAGGTACTTTCATTTTGTGGAACAACTTTTATTAACTTGCAGTTGTTGTTTTATTTGCTTCATCTTTCCTGCTGTGTCAGTCAGTCAAAGGCTTTGGTGTTCTAAATGAAGGCAATTTTCAACAGTGAGGTATATCACCTGTGTTTCATATCATGGCACATGTTTAGAATATGCATAGAGTTAATGAGTTGATGCTAATGCTGCAACACTTTATACATATCAAATAATCAGCTACCAAGTTTAACTGCATATCAGAGTCATAACGCTGCTTTATCCGAAAAAGATAGTGGAAATTAATTGGACGTCATTTATTTGATCCTTCCTATCTTTCCTGAAATTCAATGCAGATACCTAAAAGAGGGTTTAGTTTGCAAAAAATAAAAAATAAACAAAAAATATTCAGAGAAAGTTGAGTTTTTCTGAATATTTCTGAATATACCAATAACAATAATACTCATGGACTGTACTGGATTCAGAAAACTTACTCACAGCTTTATAATAGTAGTAATGTCCATGTTGTATGTTAGAGTAAAATGCACACCCAAAGATTGTCAATAAACATGATTTATTCCAGTGAGATCCATCTGAATCGCAACTTTCCTCCCACACTGTAGTTTCTTAGTCCTTAAGTCCTTGTTCTTCACTGAGTCCAAGGTATTTTCCAAAGTGTCACAAAAGGAATAGGGACAGGAACAGGGAATACCTTACTCATAGGTTTAATAAACAAAATGCTGATAAGGTCTTTATAACGCGGCATTGTAATGAGAGTAATAATGATCAATTCTAGGTATTTTAAGTATAAATAACAGGTTCTATTATAATACTAATCTAACCTGATTTTATGAAACGCCCATATCAGATCAAAATGCACATATCTACGACTTTCAATAAAATGTTTAATTGAAATGTTTGACATTCCACGCTCCAAAACCTCGTAATGCAACTTAAAGTATTATTAACTGCATTAAGAAACAGTATAAAACTTGTATTATGTCATATGTTATACAGTATTTTAAAGATTCTTATATTTAGCTTTACATCTTTCTGTCTGCCTTCAATCTTCTAGGCGTGGATATGGTCAACATGAAGTAAGTATCTCCCTTTTGTTGCTTGCTCAAATTGGGTATCTTGCTGTAATATTTTCTTTTAGTGTCATTCATTCAATATTTAGTCATCATCCTCTTTGTTCTCTTTAGTTCTTTGTTCTTGTTTGTGTGATGCGATGAAGATGAAGTTGCATGTTTTTGTGCCTCGATAACTGCCTTTTTCATATTCTCCTTTTAATCTGAGTTCAAACTGACTTTCAAAGTGACTGCTCTATTGTTTAAAAAGTTATAAAGTTTCGCTTTCAACTATTGCCTGAACAAAAACACAATCAGTCTTTTGAAAAAATGTTTTTTGCACCCAAAATCCTCTTGTTAGTGAGATGAAAAAACAGCAGATCAATACAGATAGGAAATGAAAAATGTATCATGTTTAACAGTGAAAGCAGTGTTAGTTTTTGCTGTAGATACACAGTTTTAGGGTAAAAAGAGAGAGATAGCATAATAACCTGCTTACCAGTGAGATTTGAATTAAGATCTGGAGGAATAACAAATGTTTTTGAGAACTGTTAATTAAATTGTTGGTGGAAACAACTCCTTTTGTGGCTGTAAATTAAAATCAGAAGTTTTCAAAGACCTGAGTGGAGGTGGACTATAATTGCACATAGTTAAAACAAACAACAAAAAAGTCTCTATTAGAAGATGTGTCAGACTTAAAAACAAACCCATGCAAAGATTTAAATTAGACTCTTAGGATTTTTGCATTTACCTATATTACTTAACATCACTCACCACTCATGTTCTGGACACACTAGCCTAGGCTATTCCTTTCCTTAACAGCAACATATATTCTTTAGAAACAGGAGTTTAACATTAAACAGCCAGAGTGGGTTGTTCTCTTGTCTAACTAACTTCCAAGAATTGCTTTCTATATTATAAAGTTCAGAGATTAGTGGTAAGGTGCAGAAAAGATCCCATACATGAACATGCAGGGAGGTCAGCTCTGTTAATTCAGTCCGTCTGTATGTCCACCCTCTCTATAAAGGATCAAACTAATTCTTTAGGTATTTAGGAAAAACACAGACCTGTACAAATAGATGATAAGATCACAGACACATTTAAAATTACAGAAAATAAACAATTTTTATTAAATCAGAGTTAGACTTGATTAGAGACTCTGAATCATTTAAAAATGATTTGCATTTGATGCTGAGCCATTATTTTGGATTGGATTTGAACATGACGAGTTTGAGAAAATTGGCTTTGACTGTGATTTGCTGGCAAACAATTGATTGAAACCTTATTAAATGTGAATCAAGCTAAACACTGATAGTCATTTGAAAACACAAAGTAAACATTCTTGTGTAGGCTGGGGCAAGACATCAGTGTGCTTAGGACTGAAGCTGAATGTATATATATTTTACAAAGGCGACTCCATGATCTAATTATAACAATAATTCTCGTTCTTTCTTCGAATTTTAAATTAATTTTAGAATTTAATTTATTTGGGATAAGAAAATTTTAAATCGGATGCCCAGATGTTTCTCATTAGACTTTCAAATAAGGTTTTCATCAGTTTTGTCAAACTTCAGGCCCACAGGCCAAATCCAGCCCTTCTCAGCAACTGATCTGCTTCTCAAGAGTCAAAAAGTGTTTTCATGTGTTTCGGTGGCACAGTGGTTAGCGCACATGACCCGTGTACAGAGGCCTTAGTCCTCGAAAGGGCCGACCCGGATTCGAATCTGGCCTGTGGTCCCTCGCTGCATGTCTCTCCCTCTCTCTCATACTTCCTTTCAGTTTACTGTCCAAAAACTGAGCCACTGGTGCCGTAAAAAAAGAAAAAAAGGGGGGGGGGGGGTTATGTCATAAAGGAGAGACATACTGTATGTTAAATTTCCAAAGTGTCTAAAATTGTGGAACAAATGGGATTAAAATTATAATACCAGAGCAGTATGCTCTCTGTAAATGATATAACTAAATTAAAAGCTCAATTAATAAATATGCAACTGGCCCTTTTAAAGACTTATTGCTTTTGAAGTGGCCTCATATAAAAATGATTTTGACACCTTTATTTTGGATTATTATCTGTTTTCACTCTTTGTTATCATTGAATTCATTACGTTACAAGGAAATTAAATGTAATTCTTATTGTAGAAGCTTCTATAACGATTTATTTTAGATGTTAATAGGTGCAGGAATCTTCTGTAAGAGTCTGTTTTACAGCATATCTAGAACAGCCTCTGACTGAAGACACTCTGTTGTTGTAGGACAAGCTGATGAAGAGGATCCTCAGTGTTATCTAAAATGTATTAGTAGTAATAGTAATAATCATTTTAATTATATTTAATCTAATCATTATAGAGCTAAGCCACTTTCGGCCTTAGACATGTTCTGATTCTGGTCATTGCAGAACTTTTAAAAAACTGAGATCAGAAATATCATGTTTAGAAATTGCTGTTGATGTCTTTCTTTTCTTGCTCTGCTCTTCTTTCTTCTGTAAGACACAGCAACTTCTCCGCCCCTCTCTGCTCAGACCAGAGGTATTCTGTTTTTCTTTTTCTCTAACCTGCTTGTCTTCCCTAACCTGACATGTCAGCTTTATAATGTGTAGCTCTCAGGTTTATTTAAACTTATTATTAGTCTGGGTCTGCTCCAACGAAATCTGTTGGAGGAATGGTGGAATGTTCTGTATTGCCTTTAGAACAGTTTTTTTCGAAGATGAAATCATCAAAACAGATGTGAAAGCAGCGGCTATGCCTCCATCCTCCTGAGCTGCCATCACAGCTATATGTCCCACGTTTAAACCATAATGCTGCAATGCGACTGATCAGTCTATTTTGGGTCAGTCTCACGATGGATTCTCGTGTTCTTATGAACACAGAAATACTGCAAGAATCCAGCATGGGGACAGGTTATCTCTGCTCTACTGGCTTGTTTTATCCTGTTTGCTTCTTTCTACAAGTTTTCAGGTAATAGGGTTTAACAGTGATTAGTTGTTGACCTTTGACTTTAAATTTAACAGGAGTTATCAATGGAGTCTGGCATCGATCCGGGACAGGACTACTACACACAAGATTATTACAACTATGACCATGGGTGGGTACACATTTCCTCATCATACTGGGAAGATTGCTTTTGTGCTTGCAGGGTGTACGTTTATACCTGAACTCTTAGCTTCAGTGTAAAATTGCTTACATTTTTTTTTAAATGTGCAACAACTCCACTGAATTAATGTGAACACATTGGTAAGTATCCAGTACATCTTTGCATTTTAGTCAAATTTGAATTCATACATACACAAATTCTTTGATATCACAAAATTTAATAAGAAATGTTTAAAAAGAAAACATATGAATGAATAAAAGTTTTTATGCTGTAAAGGCACACTGAAGGGATGGGTGTGAAAAACATCAAGTTATTAATCGGAAGAAAAAGTGAACAAATTTCTTGTCTGTCATCGCGTTCAGAAATTACAAAATTGTTATCCTGATTCACAGAATATCATAAATATCAAATCACTAATATATTAAATGGTTACTATGTGGCTTAATATAAAAATTGAGCTGTGCCCATTCAGATTATATTGAAACATTTGTTGAAGCAGCAGTTTGACACCAGATCAAGAAGATACAAACTGTTTGCATGGTTTCCTACAGTCTGGAAAAACAAGATTTCAGTTTCCAATTTTTGTTTTAATGAAAAAAA